GATCTCGAAAATCGCGGCGAAAGATAATGTAATTGTATTTGCAGAGCAAAGTTAAATGTCATATATTCATCACAATGCTGGCAAGCATTACCGTCGCCCTTATATTCACAATACTATTACCCCCTATACTAGTATATCCCCTTTATTGTTTTCCAGGCATTAAGACTCATCGAAAGTAGTTCAGCAGGCATATTTAAGTTCAAAACATTCTAATTCAATGTTAAAGATGACAGGAATAAGAAATAGTTATGTGGAGGTTTTTAAGAAATTTGCGCAAAATACGCGCCAGCATGATATACGAAATTAGGTAAAAAACCCAAAATCGCCATATTCAGGTGCCTTAAAAACCATGTTAAAATTGAGTTAGAGATATGAAACTTTGCAGGGCGTCTAGACCTTGTCCAAATCGACTGTAAATAAAATTTCATGTTTCAGGAGTATCGGGAAGTGGGTTTTCTGTAACCCCTGTTTTACAACAGATTGTCGTGAAGTATATATATATATGTATGTATAGACGCTTTTGCAGTCAATTACATTTAAGTGTCCGTAGATTCAAAAGTATAAAAGATACAGTCATTTCGAACCACAGGTCTTGAAGATAATCGTTTACACTCCAGTTTCCATTATATTACAAAATAATTTAACGTCATCATCATCACTTGATGACGTCATCAAGTTAAGTGTTTTTAAAACTTGGTTTTTAACAAAATAACAACTTTTCAAATCGATTTTAAACCATTAAGGAGTAATTTTATTCAAAATCTGAGGACATTCTCACCTTAGATAATTGTTCAAGCATTCTGAAAATCTACCGGAAAATTTTCCTACCTTGCTCCTTCATAAAGATATGCGCTATTGAAGTTAGTGCTTTTTTGAAGAATAATTTTATAAAAATACAAAAGTTGTGAATTAGTATTCTCTGGTGTTGGGCCATCCCTTGGGTTGTGGAGCTCGATTGTGCTTCCTAAAGGTCTAAATTGTGTTATAGGCTAGTTTTAAAGTTGAAAATCGAAAAGTTGCACACGTGGGGACACGCCCAAATTGATAGAAAATTGCTAAAATTACTGAAAATTGCTGTTTTCACCATTTTTATCAACTTTGGAGTCCCGTTGTGATCCAAGTTCTATATGAAATCTTCTGAAACTTTGCTTGCTTATTAAATTATATATAAAATACTGATATGCAAAAATTTACGGTGATTCAATATTGTATGCGCACGCAAAGTCCGCTCAAAGTTTGCACGTGCGAAAGGTGAGAATTTTGCTCATTCGTGATCACGATTTCGAATAAATTCTGCTTTCTCGCGATATTTAAATGGAATTATATATGAATTTAATGCCAACTTGAATGAGTAAAAAGTGCCATATTCAGTCAGGTAAAATTTCGAAATCGATGAAATTACCTCCTAATTATTAATATAAATATTAATGAAGTTATGAGTTTACATTTCGGCTTTGTAAATTATCCTGACATTATAATCAAAAAGAGATGATATTTGACCAAAACCCATAATCATGGGTAGAGTGTACCGCTGCCAGTGTCTCTCTTTTCCAAACAAAAGGAAATGATATTAATTTGAATAACGGTCCGCAAATGCAAATTGATACCGAGAATGAAATCGGTCGCTCGCTTTTTCCATTCGATTACGGCTTACGAATTGTAATAAAGCTTATTGATTGGAAAAAGCGAGCGACCGATTTCATTCTCGGTATCAATTTTCATTTGCGGACGGTTATTCAAATTAATATCATTTCCTTTTGTTTGGAAAAGAGAGACACTGGCAGCGGTACACTCTACCCATGATTATGGGTTTTGGTCAAATTAACTAGCTCGTTAGTTTAGTTAGATTAGCTATAAATACTGAGTAGAGCTTGCTTTTAGATCAGCCCTTCCAGACGATCTGATCTCGAAAGTTTCTCCCAGCTCGCCAGACCTCGCCAAAACGGAACTCTATGTTCCACTTGGAGTCTGTACTCATATACATTACCTATTAATTATAATACATACTATTATTAGTTAACTTGTGTTAATACTTTACCATACTACACGTAGTAAAACAAATAAACCCTGTTTACAATGAGATAACATCACGTCACACGTGATCGAATCACGTGTTTTGATAATAAAGCTAGAGACTAATGGGTAAGGAGCACACTGCTTTTCATGTGTATTATAGACACAATCAGTACAAAGTATACAGACACTCCTGAATTTACTAAACTGACTTTACTCTGGGAGGACGGAGCTGGACTTCAGTATTTAAAAGACGTTCCTGTGGTCCGTACCTCACTTTTGATCCAGTTCAGCACAATGGCGAGACTTTTCGTTTTTCTAGTGGCTATCGTAGCCGTCCTTGCACTCGTTGAAGGAGGAAAAGGAAATAAAAAGGGAGCAAAAGGAGACAAGAAGGAAAGAAAAGCTGCAAAGAAATGCGCAATGAAAATCAAGACGTTTGAGTCGTGTCTAAAGAAGGGATACAAATCAAAGGCAGAGTGTATCTCTGGAGATGGGGAACTTAATAAAAAGGATATGAAGAAATGCGGAAAGATCGAGAAACAGCTAAAAAAATGTGACTACATTTGCAAAAAAGTTGAGCCGGAACCACAACCACAACCAGCGCCCTCCCATATGACTTGAATTGCAAGAGAGTTGGATTCGACTTTTGGGGAGCTGACATCCGAAGTTTCAGTGCATCAAGCCTTGAAGCTTGTGCCATGGCATGTTTTAACGAACCAGAAAGCTTCGAGGACTGTGCTAGCCACTGCCGAGACACAGCACTAGCAGACTGTCAGTCCTTCACCCTCAGGAAATTTGACAACTACTGATGGCTAAAGAACAAGCGAGGAGGACAGACTGGACCCGCACCCAATGATGCTCTAATCAGTATGAACATCGACTGTGTTCCAAAACCAGGCTTTGTAGCTTCTGACAGATCATGTGCCATGGACGATTTTGACTTCTGGGGTGCAGATTTGAGGAGCTTCAGAGCTGAGAGCTATGAGATCTGTGCCACAGCGTGTAGTGATGCAGCTGATTGCCAATCATACACTCTGAGAAAGTCAGACAACTACTGCTGGTTGAAGAAGACTAGAGGAGGACATACTGGACCCTCGCCAAACAACGTCCTGACTCCTGATCACTAGGAACATCGAGTGTGAAACAAGAGCTTAACAAAGATTGTTCAAGAGACGACAAAGACTTCTGGGGAGCGGACTTGAGAAACTTCAAAGCCGCCAGTTTTGATCAGTGTGCTCGTTCCTGCAGGATGGCTCAAGATTTTCAGTCCTTTACACTTAGAAAATCTGACAACTACTGCTGGTTGAAGAGGAAGAGAGGAGGACAGAGCGGACCCTCACCAAATGCTGGATTTGAGGCCACAGACAATAGATGTGCCATGCACGGATTTGATTTCTGGGGTGCAGATTTGAGAAACTTCCGATCTAATGGATATGTGGATTGTCACACGAGCTGCTTTGACGCTGCTGACTGCGTCTCCTTCACTCTAAGAAAGTCTGATAACCACTGCTGGCTGAAGACGAAGGCGGGAGGACAAAACGGTCCCGGAGCTAACAGTGGTTTAATCAGTGCAAACATGAGTTGTTAAAATAATTTATATTTTATCTTCTTTGGTTTGAATTCTTTATCGGACTTCTGTTATTGCATGGATACTTCGGAATAAAATTACTAAGAGTTTTTGTGGCATTTTAAAAAGATCTGAAATAAATAAATGAGAATGTTGAAAGAATAATGATTGCGCTAAATATTTCACGATTTTTACGTAACATTACTTAGCATTTCAATTGTCGTGCTTTATTTTATCCACTGAAAGGAAATAATATAAAATGGTTATTTTATTAAAAAATATTTTATCCAAATTAATACTTTTTGAACAATTGCAATATTATAACAACTATAACAGCCAAAACAACAATTGAGTCAAACAGTGAAATTCCAGTCAAGGAAACGGCAGAAAAGCTTCTCTTCAAAGATCATCCAAAATCTCTTTTTTTAATTTGATGATTTTCCGTTTATCAAAACTTTCTTTGGTAATCTAACTTTCAGCACCTCAATACTGTCTTGTGCCATCCACATTAAACTCAATAATTAGCCATTCAAGAAAAAGTCAAAACAGTTTCAAGTGTTAAACTACTAATAAATGACTCTTGCATTTATTTTCACCAGTCATTACTTATTTTCGTAAATTTGTTAGATAATTTCGTTAAAAATCACATTCTCCCACATTGTTGGACTAAAAATAAACCTGCTGAACGACTTCCAAAGAGCCTCAATGCCTGAATAAACAGTAAAGGGGATATAATAGTATGGGAGGTATAAGGGCAACGGTCATCCGTCATACTTGCCAGCACTGTGATCAAGCGGTACTGGTACTTCCTTGAACTTGAACGAATGAGGTATTCTTGTAATTTAGCATGTGATTGCCGTCAGGTACTGGTAAAATCATTTTGCGGTCCTATTATTGATAACACTAACAGCCTTTATTTCCTCTTTAAAGTGCATTTTTACTTAAAGTTTAAGCTTATATTCAATCGACTGGTTTACAACAACAAAACAAAGTTATATTGCTGACCTTGTCCTTCCATGAAATACCCAGCACCATACCATTTGTATGGTAGCCTACCAAGGTTGTCAAACAAGTTACGAAGCAGGAGATTAAAAATGGCGGGACACTGCATCCGACATCCTGAGCTACTTGTCAGTGATTAATTCTTATGGGAACCTACGCACGGTTGAGCACAGCAAGGCCGACCAAGACAAAGCTACTTGTCTATGTTACTGAAGGAAGTTGGGACAAACTCTAAAGAGGAACTGCGAACCCTGATGCGGGACAGGGAATGGGATATATGGAGGGGTTTTCTGGAGTAGATCGGACTTAGCTCCGACATAGTAGTAGTAGTTTAGTAATTTTTTTGGTCTGTGGTTCTTGCTCCTGATTACTTGATTAGAATTTCAATTTCAGCACAATTGTTATATAAGTTGAATAATACTAAAAAACCGGTGAGACAATGGTTACACACTTACAGCAAAAATTTGACAAATCTTTAAAAATCAAAATCCTGGCTATCAATACTTATACAGGATGGTGCAGATAAGCGATTTTTCATTTTTTTTACATTTAACCCACCAGCACCACTGCAAATCAAAACCCTCGTTGAATAAAATGTCATTACGGTTCAAAACGCTAGGCTCACGTCAACTCATCAACTGCAACTCAAAAATATTGAAGAAGCTAAAAGTGAACTAAATTAGCTGAATCATCTTCGGTAAAATTATCAGTTGCCTTCTGGCCGAGCCATTCCGCGATAAGGGCTACTTCCTGGTTCCTTGCAAGTATTACTGACATAGGATCGTCTTTATTGGAACCTCTCAGGTCAAGATGATGTGCTCCTTCGGCTATAATTATCGCTTTCACTGTCGGGTTCACGTCCTCTAGCACTCCTCCTGTTGGAATTTGATTTTTGGTATACTCAGGATGTTATACCATGTACGATTCCTTCAATCTTGAAGGCTAAAATAGCCTTTGGTCGAGAATATCAATATTCAAAGTAAAGAACGCTATAAAGAGAATAGATAGAATTGAACAAAGAGTGCAATAATATTTTCCAACTCACCAGCGTGCCAAGGATCGAGTAGACCGTTAGAAAATATGATGTTGCTGGCAGCGGAGAAGTCAGCAGACCAGTAGTTAAGACTAGCATCAACTGGGTCAGGGGATACCTTGTAGTTAGCTTCACAGTACCTGGACGGACCGCGGCAATTAATTTTTGGTTTACCCTGTTCACTTTTTTCAGAAATCTCTACAATGACCTTCAGTGTTCCAAAGCACTAAGTGCGCGTTATTTAAAGTCGATAGGCAGCCAGTCTGAGCCAATTCAATCATTACTATTTTCCCCGGTAAATCTCATCAACTGACTTGCTAGCTATGTCAAGATTCCACTCAAGTGGGGGAAACATGTCAGTTACATTGGTGCTTGGGGTGGCTAATTGGAACTCAGTACAGCACTGGAAATCCCACGCTTTCGCTTCGGGTCCCGTACCACAACCTGTGGGGATTTGAAATTATTTCATAATATAGGTATACACCTGAGTGTGAACGTGGGCGTGAACGTGGGCATGAAAGTGGCCAGGGCTTGGGAGTTGGGCTTGGGAGTAATTGGTAACCTCATCACCTGTTATGTCGGCACATTCGATGAAGTCTTCGTATATGTTAAAACATGATTTAGTGCCATCAGTTCCGTTATACAACAACCCAGCACCAACTGCTAAAGCCCTCATTTCGTTTCCACTCGTTTCCATTTCTTCGAGCATCATTTTACAAGAATGCTTCACCTAGTGATATTATGGCACTGTTTGAGTATTTCGAATTCATGAGATTGAGAGTGAGTTATTGCTATTTTTCGCGGAAATTCTGGAAACACTTCCCAGTCCCTTTCTAGAGAACAGCGGTTAAGAACAAGTTGACAATATATGGAGATACACTTACTGGCCATGCAGGTAACTCTCCCATAAACGAAGCGGGGTAGGGATAATCAACCATCGCCATCATCAGCATAGCATTCCTCGCCCAGCCAACTAGATGGTTGAATTGGCTCACGTCAAACGTCTTACATAGCCTGTTGTGTTAAGAGTGAATATAAAGTTTCTACGTTTTAAACGTTTATTAAACATTCATAAAAAAATTTTAGTTCAATGGATCATTGAAACAATGTCAATACCAGATTCACAACGTGATTCAGCTGCGTCACTTTGACATTTTAGCTGAGAGCCACCAACTTGAAAGTATCAGTTACAGAGGCCTGATAGCCTGGTGTCTTTACAATATTGTAGAGCTGAGAGAATCCCTTTCGAACGATATCCGGACACCTTTCATCAGCGGCCTTGAAGTCTTCTGTAACTATCTCGAAGAAAGCCTAAACAGAGAGAAAGTTCAATGTACAAAAGGAGAAGGAAGCTTTTGTTGGTGAATTATCGTAAACGATCAAATAAAACATCCGTTTACTTACAATTATTGACAATGGAATGTGGTATTATTGTTGAGAAATATTAGAAAGATAATTATTCAAAAAACGTTCGGGCTCCTTTGGATCAACTTTCTTACAACTGAGTACCTGTTTTGGTTTGGCGGTTCTAGCCATCATAGGCAGGGGAGCGGAAGCAGCTAAGGCCACATCCACTAACTGAGGGTACCTCAACCTCATCCAGGCAGTCAGCATTCCTCCGTAACTGCCACCAAACGAAACTACCTGCATAACAGTAGTGGATTATTATTTAGGTTGAAGATTTAAAAATACAAAACGGTTAAAAGTATTTCGTAGTGTTATAAGTCCAGATTATCATCATTACATTTACGAACCTTGCTCATAGTTTTAACCCAATATAGGTGGGAAAATGAGATTCTAATTGTGAATGCAAATATAATTCTCATCATACCTGAGTTATGTTTTTTGATTTCTTGTAATGGTTGATAACTTCCGCAAAATCAGCTGTAGCTTGAGTTGAAGACAGATATCGCAGACCATCATTGCTGAACGATTCAGACCCAAACGGTAAAGATTCTCCGTAGTACCTGATAGGAAATTAAGCATTTCTAATTTTGTAGAGTTTAAAGTTTCGTTTCAAGAATGAAGAATATGAAGAGTCATTAGCCATCTTCTGACAGTTACATAGTATCATTAGTATCTTAGACACATAACTTCTATAAGATAAGCTCCTATGAACAATAAGCTTCAGAACAAAGCTTGGACTAACCTATGCTCAACGAAGAGGATAAGAGCCCCGAAAGCGGGTGCTATCTCAAACATGAACCCTGTATTGTAATAGAAACTTTCAAGTGGTCCCTCGTTTCCAGTGTAAACAAAAAGTGGCCCAACTGTGCCGTTAGGACCACAGTCCCAGTGCTTGTTGTACTCAAACAGACGCTGAGAAAAGGTTTGAGAAGCTTCAGGGCTGTAACTGTAGTGGTCTACTTTCTGAGAGTATTGGAAGATTCCTGTGGGTTTGGGAACGTCATCAGAGAGGGTCAGGGAGATTAAGACTGAGAGAAGAAGTAGAATGATCATTGGATCACTTTTAGCCAGACTCAAGCTTCAGAGACTGTTTTATAGCTATGAAATTTTATTGTTATAGTTACGTAGTTACAAGTTAGCATGCTTACTGTTACTGTTTCAGCTCAATTAAGTATTAGTCAGTTGAAACTACAATGAAAGTAACAATAATAAAAGTAAAATTTTATCAGTTATCTTCTGAGCAATCGAAAAAATTATCGCACAGAGTAGGAGTTTTCTAAAAAAATGTTCTGCAGCACCAGATACTAGAAGAAGCACTAGTATTACTGATAACAAATAAAAAAGAATATGAGTGTTGAGTAAATATGAAGAGTAACTTAACACCGGGCCGGTGCAAATTATACAGGTCATCAGATAGATAAAACGAGTCATGTGAGCCGCCACATCCCATTCTGATTCACTTAACTTATTCCAAATTCACCTGCACTAACTGATGTATCAGAATGATATGGGTTATTCCAGTTGCTACTGAGAGCTGCATGTACTATAACTAACTGTTTGTAGGTTTACAACCTACCAGGACGCGCGCCGAGTTGGACTCGTTGACGGTCCAATATATGGAACAGATATTTTACGAGTATCACCCGTTAACTAACTGTAAGCACTAAGAACCTGAAACATCGTTATAATGTATAACGAACTCAATTATAAATTCAGAGGCAACTTCATTGTTTCACTTCAAGAATATGGAGAGTTGTCAAAATTTAACAGGTGATACTTGTAAAATATTTGTTCCATTAAATATTAGTGATTAGATAATAGATTTAGATTAGGAGTTCAACTCAGCGCGCGTCATGGTACTGGTAGGTTTGGGAGCGTTCACATATGACGTCAGCGACTGAGGGCGGAGGAGGGTTTTATAATGCTGACGGATGCTGACAGGGGAGGAAGTCTAACTCTAAGCCTTGCTCATGCTGACGTCAGCAAAAATACGTGAAATTTTGCAACAAATTTTTGTTCCAAATCAATTTTATTAATAATAAAACTTTGGTAATTTCTTTGTATTAATATTAATAGGTTAATACTAAATATTTAAAGACAAATAATAATTATAACTCGTGCAAGTCCGAAATGGGCCGTGTGCTGCTTCTAGGAAGTACATATGACAGTGCATATCAGCACACTGTTGGCTTTCTTAGAGACCTGATGAGAACCAAGCGGAAATCATGATTGCCTGGTAAGCAAGTTCACACTCATTCCGAATGGCGGTAGACTTTACAGCTACACTGCAGCTTACACTGTAGTGGGAATCGCGTCACTGATATCCTCCGAGCATAATTACCAGGATAAATCCTGTACCAATCACAGCTTGGTGACCTGGCCTGCCTGCCTCAGACGGGGTTTGAACCCCGGTCTTCCGCTTGGGAGGCGAGTGAATTACCACTACACCACCCGGCCGACAAATTAAGACAAATATTAATATTTAATAGCATCATTTCGTAGATCATCAGAGAATGCATTTACATCACTGCTTATAATATAATAACATGAGTTACACACCTCGTCAAATTCGGTATGTAACTCGTTTTATCCAACTCGTCAAACTCGTTGGATACAACTATTTTCACAACTCAAACATCAAAGTTGTGAAAATAATGTTATAAGCAGTGTTGTAACTGCTTATTATCACCTCTTCGACCTGTTGAACATGTACTTACCATAAAATTTTGATTCACGATGTCAATCCTTCGCAGCTCGGTGAGGCACAGTGGTGCATCACGCCGATCTACCGAGAAGAATTATTTGATGCGCGGCGCGACCCAGTAGTGCATCGCGCTACAACATAAAAATGTAAACAAACAATTATCACCTCTATGGTGGCCGAGGAGGGTCATTTTTAAAAATAAAATAAAAACCATACTCACGTGGCCGAGGAGGGTCATTCGGCCGAGGAGGGTCATTTTTTAAAAATGGCCCTGCTCGGCCATGGCCGAGCAGGGCCAAACAATATGACGAAGAAATGGCCCTCCTCGGCCATGGCCGAGCAGGGCCAAACAATATGACAAAAATGGCCCTCCTCGGCCATGGCCGAGCAGGGCCAAACAAGAAATGGCCCTCCTCGGCCATGGCCGAGCAGGGCCAAACAATATGAAAAAAGTGGCCCTCCTCGGCCATGGCCGAGCGGGGCCAAACAAGAAATGGCCCTCCTCGGCCATGGCCGGGCAGGGCCAAACAAGAAATGGCCCTCCTCGGCCATGGCCGAGGAGGGTCATTTTTAAAATTAAATAAAAACCATACTCACGTGGCCGAGGAGGGTCATTCGGCCGAGGAGGGTCATTTTTTTTAAATGACCAAAACATCGCGCGCGCAATGCGCGTCTTTTACTTCTTAACAATGTCACGCACAGCGGCTTACGTAAACAACAAGACAGCGTGGACATTTGCTAGAACACCTCCTCGGACTAAGTTTGCATAATCAATATTTCGGTTCGAATTATAGAACGGACATGTCATTGTCATCATCTTTATACTTGAAATCTTTTTTACAAAATGAAACACAGATGTAAAATAATGAATTTATAAGAGCATTATCCGAGAACCCTTAAACACTGCAATGAAACTCCGCTGAAAAATCTGTTAAGTAGGTGAGAATTTACCTACCATCGGAAAGTTCCAAAATCTATAGCTAAATCCAAAACGTTTACAATCATACACTCCTTGCACCTTGAGATACGGAGATTGAACAGCGAGACGGAAAATAAACGATGAGATAGATATTGAACACTAGGAGTTGGACGGACATTAAATACAGAGAGAACTATTTAACACGAGATAGAGATTGAAAACTGAAAGACAGATATTAAACACTGCACAGTGAGACGGACAGTCAATACGCAAGGATACGGAGGGAAACACTGGGTCGGTCATCAAACATAGAGGGAGACGGAGAATCGAGAGAGTAAACACTGAGTGACATAAACACTGATGTGCATGATTGTTGAACTACTCAAACTCTTTCCCCATTCAAAACATCAAATAACAAATGCTGTCAGTAGCAGATTGAAAAATAACATTGCATTACTTTAAGATTAAAATTATAACCATTCTGAGCTGCGAAAGTAGCATTTGATGATTTGAAAGTGAATTTCAATCCTCCAACAAACTTTAGTAAAATACACGACGTCATATGTTTCAAAAGATTGTTATATTTTAAGCTACCCTTGCTTATTTAATTAACCTCGTGCTATTTGCTAAAGAGAGAATAGCATTAGCAGATCTAGTTCACGTCTTCATATTTTCATGTAATTCGATGAAGCCACAAATCTCACAGAGCTACAGAATTCAGTGATCGTCTACAACACCAATAAAACCTGAAAAAAATGGAAGTTATGATATACATTTTAGAAACTCCATTGCAACATATTGCAATAGATCATCTAATCCGGGGTATAGTATGATGTGAAATTTGAAAAGTATTTAATATAAAAGCAAATTGTTTATCTCGTTAGGAAAATTTATCAAATAACCATGCGAATTGTGATAGCGTGCTACGACACCGTGATTAATGAATATAGTGTTCATCGTTTACTCTCAAATCTGGATCCTAATTCTACCAGCTTCACGGAACTTAGAAAAGAACTTTCCTCTGCCACTACACGAAGGCCAACGCAGTAAACTTGAATGCTAAAGATATCTTTCTTCAAGAAGCACTCTAAAATTTGGATCAGAATGATAAACAATGAACCTTATGCCAAATTATTAGACGGAGATCGTCTACTGATATTTCTCCGGAGTTTGCAGTTCCACGACCGGAGACCATCTACGGTAATTTTGTTGATACTGTATGAATTAATCTCCGAGAAATTCCCGGAGAGCTTCATCTCCGTCTAATACAGTAGACGGAGCCGGAGAATCATCTCCGGAGATGATCTACGGGAAATGGACCTCCGTCTAATAATTTGGCATAATATCCGGCCATGGAACTGGGGGGTAAACTGTTTTGGAAATATCTGTAAATTTTAAAAATGTTTTTTATAAATGATGGCAACGTCTCGACTAAGACGTTGCCACCTCGACAGTCTGTCTATTGTGTAATCAAATTTTACCTAAGTTAAGTCAGATTCACCACACCATCTGTACCTCAAATAGTCCACTGGCAAAATCATTTTCTACAGAACCCATATACTGTTGAATGGACTCTTTTAATTACAGGTAAGACAGATTGTGTCTGAATTATTATCTTTTATTCAGAGACCGTGTAGAGTTAGACTATATAATATATATTAAGTAACTGCACTTATACAAATTTCTGGAATCATTGCAGTTGTGTGATAAGTCATGTTTTAACTCTTAAGTAGTGTTCATGGTGATCATATTTTTGGATCCCAAAACTTGGGAAGCACTCAACACACCAGGCTGAAGCAAAACTTTCCCCATTTCACCGTACGAGGTAAGATGATCTAAAAGTATGTACTCAGCTTACAACTTTACTCGTGGGACGAGACGTCCTGACTTGAGCCCCGAAAATTATTGAAATTATATACAGTTAGTAATAAGTATGCATACATAAATATAATACCAAACAATGTACAATGTGGTTTGGCCATTGCTATATATTTAAAATAAAATAAATCTGCCATATAATTATAAAAAATTTAAAAAATAAACCTGAAGAAAGGAGATGGAGAGTACTGAGTAGTTTCAAAAACATACATAGAATTAATTAAATGTTAGACAGAATAAATGCAAGCTTGTATCATTTTATTTTATTTCTCTAGCTCCCAAGGACCCGTATTTTAGCCGTTCAATCTACTTTAGTCATCATAACTGCCATTTAATTTAAATTTCTTCCTATTGATCGATAATTGTTCATGACTTTTACAACTTTACTCACTCCCGCATATTGTCATTCATCAGATCACTGTATAATAATGTGAACGTCTTTAACTAGAATTTCTCCTCAGAAAATCAGAACTTGAGGTGCTGAAAAGATAAAGAAAACAAGGAAATCAAAGTCCGGGGCCAAACACAATGAACAGTACAGCATTGTAGAGTAAAAAATAAACTCTTTTAAAATTGTGCCCTACAGATCAGTACAATTAGTTGCACTTGAACAGGTGGTTATACAGTCCACTACCTCTTCAATCCTCCATATCAAGAGTATAAACAGGTGGCACTCAGTGATAAAGGAAAAACCCCCACTAACATTTTCTCAACACAAAACAGGTACAAGAAAAAAATAAGGCCCACATAGGGTAAATGGTTTTTC